TCGTATAAACAATTGAGTATTTTCCATTTAATACTTGTATTATACATGTACGTACATATTTCTCAATAACACTTTCATTTTCCATATAACACTCGTATAATACTTCATGTTGATTGTTTCTAGAGTTATTATCCTTATATTTTCCCTTTAAATACTCGTATTATACACATACATATGTATTTGTAATAATACTTCTGATTTCCGTACACGTCTTAAAGACTCGGTAAAATACAAGTTTTTTTATTTATAAAATGCAAACATAAAATACACGTATATACGTATTTTTCATGTTTAATACACATTTATTTTTTTAAAAATCAATAATGCACACAAACTTCACTTATTATACACATAATTTTCACATATTAGTGATGAAAAATAAAATATACTAAAATATTGTAAAATATTACATAATGGCCAAAAATTTCAGTTGTAACTAGCAAAAATTATTATTTTTCTAATAAATAGTACAACAGTGCGGCCATGCTAGGTCTTCTTTTAGGTAAATAGTATAGCCGGGCGGCTATACTTAGTGTTTTTTTTTTCAAATTTTTACTCAAATTAATAGTGTAGCGGGGTGGCTATACTCCGTTTCTTTTGTTTTTTTTTTTCAAAAAAATAGTATCGCCACCCGGCTATACTTTTTCTAATATTTATTCAAATTAATCGTATCGCCGGGCGGCTATACTCCATTTTTAACATTTTATTCAAATTAATAGTATAGCGGGCTATACTCTGTGTTATTTTCATTTTTTTCAATATAATAATATAGCCGTTCGGCTATACTTCTTTTTTAATATATATTTTTTAAATTAATAGTATAGCCGTGCGGCTAGATTCCCTTTTTTTTTTTAATTAACATTTATTCATATTAATAGTATTTCCAAGGTTATTATTCGTATAAACAATTTAGTATTTTTCGTTTAATACTCGTATTAAACATGTATGTATATATTTCTCAATAACACTAACATTTTCCATATAATACTTGTATAATACTTCATGTTGATTTTTTCTAGAGTTATTATCCATATGTTTTCCCATTAAATACTCATATTATACACGTATGTATGTATTTTTCAATAATACTTCCAATTTCAGTACACGTCTTAAAGGCTCGGTAAAATATAAGTTTTTTTAATTTATAAAATGCAAACAAAAAATACATGTATGTATGTATTTTTCACGTTTAATATATGTTTATTTTTATAATAAAAAATTCAATAATACGCACAAACTTCACTTATTATACACATAATTTTCACATATTATTGATGAAAAATTAAATAAAATAAAATAAAAAATAAAAAATTGTAAAATATTACATAATTGAAACAATTATCACTTTTCTAATAAATAGTACGATCGTGCGGGCACACTAGGTCTTTTTTGTTTTTCTTTTTTAAAGTAAATAGGATAGCCGCGCGGCTATACTCCACTTTCTAATATTTTTACAAATCTTTTGTATAGCCGATCGGCTATACTACGTGTTTTTCAAATTTTTAATCAAATTTATAGTCTAGCCGTAAGGCTATACTCTGTTTTTAAATATTTATTCAACTTAATAGTTTGGCCGCGCGGCTATACTCGTTTTTAAATATTTATTCATTTTAATAGTATTTATAGTGTTATTATTCGTATAAACAATTTAGTATTTTCCGTTTAAAACTCATATTATATATGTATGTATATATTTCTCAATAACACTAACATTGTCCATATGATACTCGTATAATACTTCATGTTAATTTTTTGTAGAGTTATTATCCGTATGTTTTCCCGTTAAATACTCATATTATACATGTACATATGTAGTTTTCAATAATACTTCCTATTTCCGTACACGTGGTAGGCTCGTTAAAATACAGATTTTTTATTATTTATAAAATGCAAACATAAAATACACGTATGTACATATTTTTCATGTTTAATATATGTTTAAAATAATAATAATAATACACACAAACTTCACTTATTATGCACATAATTTTCACATATTATTGATGAAAAATAAAATATTAAAATAAAATATTGTAAAATATTACATAATGTCCAAAATTATCATTTTTCTAATAAATACTGTGTGGCCATACTAGGTATTTTTATTATTATAAAGTAAATCGTATACTCCGTGAGTTTTTTTTTAATATAATAGTGTGTTTACTAATCAGGAATTGGAATTCTCATTATGAATTGAATTCCGCATATGGAGGATTCCTGCGTTTACTTTACATCAAAGAATTGAAAAGTAAGTGGGGCCCACACAAAATTAGGAATTAAATTCCTGATTTTGGAGGAATTCAATTCTTGGGTGGGAGGTGGTCTTCTAATTTATGGAGAACTAACCCATTAGGAATTGATCTTTTTTTACCCATTATATCCTCACACAATATTCAAAATTTCAAATTTGTCATCTACTTAAACCCAACCACGAGGACATTTGCGTAATTAGTACCACTCCTACCCCAATTTCATATGGTTTAGTAAACAACTTCAATAGGAATCCGAAATCTAACTCCGCTCAATCCATATGGTGTAGTAAACAACTTCAATAGGAATTCGGAATCTAATTCTCCTCAATTCAATTCCCCCTAATCTAATTACGGATTAGGAAACATGTCATAATAGTATAGCAGCCGTGCAACTATACTCTGTTTTTAAAAAAAATATTTATTTAACATGTCAAATGTTTCAATAATACACACAAACTTCACGTATCATACACATAATTTCCACATACTATTGATGAAAGAAAATATATATTAAAATATTAAAACAAATGATCGTAAAATATTACATAATGGCCAGAATTTTCGGTTGTAACTAGCTAAAATTATTATTCTTCTAATAAATAGTAGGCCCATGCGGATGCGGCTATACTAGGTCTTTTTTCTTTTCATTTTTAAAGTAAACCGTATAGCCGCCCGGCTATACTCCGTGATTTTCAAACTTTTAATCAAATTTATAGCCGCCCGCCTGTACTCCGTGTGTTTTTAATGGTGAAAATGTTCAGTTGTAACTTGCCAAAATTATCATTTTTTTTAATAAATAGTACGACCGTGCGGCCATACTAGCTTTTTTTTTATAAATAAATAGTATAGCCACCCGGCTCGACTCCATTTTTTAATATTTATTTAGATTAATAGTATAGCCGGTCGGCTATACGCCGCGTGTTCAAATTTTTATCGACTTAATAGTATAGCCGTGCGGCCATATGCTGTGTGTAAACTTTTATTCACATTAATAGTATAGCCGATCGGCTATGTATTTTTTTAATAATACTTCCGTTTTCTGTACACGTATTAAAAACTCAGTAACATACAAGTTGTTTTTATTTATTTATAGAAAACAAACATAAAATACACGTATGTATGTATTTTTCATTGTTTAATACACATTTTTTTTCACAAAGTTTTCAATTATACACACAAGCTTCACATATTATACACATAATTTCCACATATTATTGATTAAAAAATAATATATATTAAAATATTACATAATGGCGAAAATTTTCAGTTGTGACTTGCCAAAATTATCATTTTTCTAATAAATAGTATGACCATGCGGCCATACTAGGTCTTTTTTCTTTTTTAAAAATAAATAGTATAGCCAACCGGCTATACTCCATTTTTAAAAATATTTATTCAAATTAATAGTATAGCACTCCGTGCTTTTTTTAATTTTGTTAATGTTTTTTTTCAAAATAATCGGCTATACTCCATTTGTTTTATATTTATTCAAATTAATGGTATAGCCGCGCGGCTCTACTCCGTTTTTTTTATTTATATTTATTCATATTAATAGTATTCCCAGGGTTATTATTTGTATAAAGAATTTTGTATTTTCCATTTAATCTCGTATTATACATGTACGTACATATTTCTCAATAATACTTTCATTTTCCATATAATACTCTTATGATACTCCATGTTGATTTTTTCTAGAGAGTAATTATCCGTATATTTTCCAGTTAAATACTCGTATTATACATGTAAATATGTATTTTTTATTTATTTTTTATGTATGAAAAGCGAACATAAAATACATGTATGTATGTATTTTTCATGTCTAATACTCATTCATTTTACAAAATTTTCAATAATACACGCAAGCTTCACGTATTATACACATAATTTCCACATATTATTGATTAAAAATAATATATATTAAAATTTTAAAATAAATTATTGTAAAATATTACTAATGGCGAAAATTTGTAGTTTGTAGCATCTAAGTATTCATTAAAGGCACATTTAATTGTGTTATGCCTTAGATTTGAGACGCATCTCAAGTCAATTATGGACTGCTAGGTGTTTATACTTTCTCATATGGCAATGCGTAATTGATTTGATGTACCATTATAGTAATATTCTCGTTACATAAAAATTATTCTCATAAGATTAGCTCATGCAAAATTGTTTCTTTAAGAATTTAATTAAAAACACGTTTCTTGTTGAAATAAATTCTCTAAACTGATTTGTTTATACTGATTTTCTTCTCTCTTATTTCACATAAGAAAATGTCCAAAGTGTTAGCATTCTGGATGGGATCTTCTTTAACAAACTGATCTGCTGGGATGCGGCCATCCATCACGAACTGTCACAAAAAAATAAAAAAAGCAGGATCCACCAACTACTAATGCCGAAAATTTCATTAGAGAACAGAAAAAGATGAACATAAATGTGCTCCGTTGAGTCTATTACATTGTGCACATGTGTCTCATGAAATTAAGCATACCTTTGTTTATATAAACTTTTATGGAAATAATGTTAGTTTTGTAGGGGTGGTTATACATGTACACCCAACAATCTATCGTGTTTAAAAATGCATGAGTGTGTTGTTTTACATATACGTATACAGTCCGTTGTTTTATATATACACATACAATCCGCTTCATATGCTGAAGGACATGAATTTGCACAACCATCTGTTTGATTTTCTAATTTTCCGGCTTCTATAGCTCTAAAATATAATTGGAATATTGGAATTCCTCAGGATCTTTGTAATTTTATATTGTTTCATAAAAAATATGACGGGGATCTTTAGTGATGAAAATAATCCAATTAATTTAAGTCAGACAAGATGCCAGAGATCTTGAACCTGATAGAAAGGCATAAAATTTTCAATTTACCTCAACAAAACTTTGCCCAGGTAACTTTTTCAACAACTTTTTTCTCATCAAGTTCCTCAACCTAGCTTCGTCTTCCCACCTACTAGCTTCAGCGTATATATTTGACATAAGTACGTAGGATGTAACAGTTTGAGTATCTAAACGGGACAGGCGGGCTACCACAAGTTCGGCTAGCTCAACATTGCCATGTATCCTGCAAGCACTTAGTAAAGCTCCCCACACACCTGCATCTGGCTCAACCGGCATCGTCTCAATAAACTTATATGCCTCAAGCAAGCAACCAGCACGACCAAGAAGATCAACCATACAAGCATAGTGCTCTACACCAGGGGAGATCGAGTAGTCTTTAATCATGCTCTCAAAGTGCTTTCTCCCTTCTTCTACTAGACCCGCATGCCTACAAGCAGTCAAAACAGCAGTGAAAGTGAAACTATTTGGTTTGGTACCCTGTTCTTTCATCATAGAGAAAAGCATGAGAGCATCGTCCCCATGACCATGAGATGCACAAGCCCCTATTATAGATGTCCAGGACACAACACTTTTATCAGGCAATCCCTGAAATACATCCTTGGCCAGGTCTATGTTCCCGCACTTCGCATACATGTCAATGAGTACATTTGTGATTGAAGCATTGGTTCCAAAGCCTTTCATTCGAGCCAGCTCATGCAACCATCTACCAGTGTTCAGTGCACCCAAGCTAGCACAGGCTGAAATAACACTGACTATTGTGATATAGTCATACTCTACATTTTCAGTTTGCATCCTACGAAAGAGCTTTATTGCATCAGTCCCTGCATTGTTCTGTTCATAAGCGGCGATCATTGCATTCCACGAGACCAGGTTTCTTACTACCATCCCTTTGAATAAAGATCTTGCCGTGTCAAGATTCCCACACTTACCATAAAATGCAATCAAAGCATTCATGAGTGCCATATCTGAGTCAACACCAACTTTAATTCCGAAACCATGGATTAGTTTTCCTAAATCCAAAAATTTTAAACTAGCACAAGCAGGGAGGATGCTGACCAGCGTAACCACATTTGGTTGGGTCCCTGAAGCAACCATATCTCGCAAAACAGATAACCCTTCTCTGTAGAACCCATTTTGCACATAGCCTGCTATCATCGCAGTCCAAGAAACTATGTTCTTCACAATCATGTCACTGAAAATAATCTCTGAGTTCAAAGTTTCACCGCTTTGTGCATACATACTGACCAAAGAGCTCTGAACAAACACATCTGAATGAAACCCATATTTAATAACGTTACAATGCACTTCTTTCCCTTCCCTCAAAGCCAACTGCACTGTGCAGGAGCGAACCACAAAAGGGAAAGTATAGTTATCAGGGGACAACCCACTGTGATGCATGTTTCTGTACAAAACTATGGCTTCATGGCAAGGACCCCGATCAGCATAACCCCTGATCAAAGTGTTCCAAAGAAATGCATCCCTTTCGGGCATTGTGTCGAACAGTTTTCGTGCATAGTCCATGGTAGGGGCCATGGAAGATGCCAAAGTAACAAGCTTTGTGGAGAGGAGAAGGTTTTGGTTGGATCCATGTTGGAAGATTAGAGCATGGATGCACTTAAGGTCTGAAAGAGAAGAGCAAGAGTTAAAAAAGTAGTTAAAAGGGAGGGAATGGTAGTTCCTGGGACAGAAGTGAAATGGGACAGAAGTAATAGGTTTGAGTTTTCTTAGGAGTGGACGGACGGAATAAGCACACATGAAATTTTGGCATTGGTTTTAAGTTTTGGACTGTGCAACTTTCATAGTCCAAGGCACATATCTCTATTTTGTAGTCCAAGGCGCATGCACTCCTGAGCAGCCTGAAACCTGGGGTCAGACACAAGAATTAGAATTTTTTATTATTATTAAAAATTATTATAAAAAATAAAAAAAAACACCCAAATAAGAAAGAAGGAAAAAAATGAAAGATGAAATAACTGCAATCAGTTTTGGAAGGCAGTGGCCATAAACTGTAAGATAAGTCCTAAAACCACTTGAAAATTTGATATATCAGTCTAAGCATTCTGAATGATGCTCATGGGGCAGCACTAGTTATAAAACACAAATGATCCGCCCCATAAGCACCGAAAAGCAATCAAATCTGTTTCAAGATGCCAACCTGAAGAAAAAATAATAGCAGTCTTATGCGTGTAACACGAAAAAGAATAACAAGCATGCAAAAGAGCACACAATTGAATAGTTCCAGTAAAGCTCTAATAAGAAAAGAGCAAAACAATATGGTTCAGAGCATTATACATCTATTACAGATCTGTGACTTCCAATCTCAAACTAAAATTATAGAGTGAGGCAAATGTTTCATGTTTGTTGATGAACAGGGCATATTAACAGGTGGTATAGGATAGTATGGTATCAACAGAATTAAATCAAATGAATGCGCATTGTGGGAACAGAAGGCTAACCTACAGAAATCAAGATAGTTTCCTGTGTCACTTGAATTAAAACAAAACAGGTATGGAGCCTAAACTGTTTATATAGTGGTGCAGCCCGTGCGTATTTAACGGTACCAATCATCATCTCCAAATATAACTATTTGAGAGCTTTTGTATTGAGTATTTTACTGAAGAGCAATGGGAAGAACATTCCTTGAAGTAAATTCATTAACCATAGGAAAGCCTGTTTAAGATGATTTGATCAGCTTGCTTTATAATTTCATTTTTCCTGCCCTGTGTGAATTGATAGGCAAAGCACATGATTCCTTGATTCATTTTTACCCATCTCTAAAATTACCAATAAAAGTAAGCTCTACGCAAATCATCCACATTTTTATGGAATATCATGCTTAAATGAGAATTAGATTTTTTTTATAAAAAAATTAAGTAATTGCATCCACATTATCAGTAATTACACTATTTCACAACATAAAAACAACAGGCAAATACAATCAATTCAGAAAAGAAAAAAAAAAACTACATGAAATCAACCAAGAATGCACAAAAGTAACAAATGAAATCAAACCAAAAATAACAAACCTCCAGGGCCTGAATGGAAGCTTCCGATTCAACTTCCTAGATTCTAATCTCTTGCTCAGTGGCTACTTTGGTGTGAACGCTAGCTTAGTGTTATCGGAACTCTTCAATGGATTCTCCAGGAAAGACAGTAAAGACAAAGTGGAAATCTGAGAGAGAGAGAGAGAGAGTTATGTCTCCATTTTCTTTCCTTTTCTGGGTTTTGGAAATTCTAATTATATGAATGATGACATTGTTACTTTAGTGTTGTTTCAATGGCTCAATTTATGAACTGAGTGATTACAATTCATTGTCTATTTGGGTAGGTAGAGTTGTGAATTGAACTGAAATTGCATTGTGCCCATTTTGCAGAACCATGATTGACTTAAGAAATTTGCTATTAAATCCCCAGATATTCAAAGTTTGCTGCAGAATTAAATCACTTAATATAAAACTTATGTAGGACATCGACAGGCGTTTATGCTTGATGAGATAGCTATGGAGCCTCATTTTGTTAGACTTTAGCAGGCACCATTCTTGTGCATTATTTTGCACAAACCTATTAGTGAAGTCCCGTGTCCAGGAATGATATTTTTTCCCATTCCCTTCAGGCTTTCAAAAATGCTTGGGAAATAGCTTGTTCATTGCCCATGCGCACGAGAATTGTAATTCCTGTTGGAAGCACTTACCTTGTCCACCCTGTCGATATTGCTGGACCGTGTAGATCAAAGGTTACTTTAATGGTATGATTCAATTCTCTTACATCCCTTCTAATTAGCAGCATTTAGATGATAATGTATCTATTGTTCGGTTGATATTTGTCATTCAAAATTATCTGCATTCACTTTAATAGACTGCATGTCTTTATAGATCTCTGGTACCATTGTTGCTCCCAAAGATCCGGATGCTTGGATTGGTTTGAATCCACGTAAGTGGCTTTATTTCCATGGAGTGAACCACCTTACCCTAGAAGGGGGAGGGAGAATCAATGGGATGGGGCAGGAGTGGTGGGCTCGGTCTTGCAAGACCAACTCAACAAATGTATTGCTCTCTTGAACCTGTAAACTTATGTTTCATTTAAAGACGATTCTACCTGCATCTGTCTAAAACTAGCTTGAACTTGTTTGTGGCAGCCATGTCGACATGCTCCAACGGTTAGTGCTTTCTTATTTTATGAGCAAGCAGTGTTTCGTTTCTTCTCATATTGTTTTCATTTTACTTCCGTTATAAGTTTCTTGTCTCTGATGGTTTCATAGCCTTAATATGGGATATCAAATACATTCCAGGCAGTTACATTCCATAGGTGCAAGAATTTGAAGGTCAAGGATCTTATGATTGTCAATAGTCAACAAATGCACTTGGCATTCACTAACTGTATGCGGGTAGTGGCATCCAATCTCAGAGTGATGGCCCCTGCTGTTAGTCCCAATACTGATGGAATCCACATTAGTGCATCAAGGGGTGTTGAAGTCAAGAACAGCATAATAAGAACAGGTCAGTTATCCAAGGAAACTGTTGCTAAATTTAAATCTATTCAGTGTTCTTGATCCTAGAAGTATATCTTTTTTTCAAGTTGTTGCAGAGAAGGTTGTTACTTGTTACCTTTAGCAATTAGATGTTGATTTTTGTGCCAGTTTGCATATCTATATGCATTGTAAGTTGTAACTCATTCATTATCTTACATCAAGTCCTTATACTCAATCCAGGAGATGACTGCATTTCAATAGTCAGCAATTCTTCACGAATCCGGATTATAAATATTGCTTGTGGCCCTGGTCATGGCATAAGGTAAATCTTTACTTTCATTTAGGCTTCACTCTGGGAATCATACGTACACCTTACTAATTTTCAAATGCCTTCTTAAGCATTGGAAGCTTGGGAAAGTCAAACTCTTGGTCACAAGTGCATGATGTATTGGTTGATGCAGCATTCCTGTCTAACACGGACAATGGAGTGAGGATCAAAACATGGCAGGTAATTTTATTCTCTAAGTTCTCTGTTCACATGCACACACGAGGCATATGTACCTTTTTTCTTTTTTCTCCTTTTCTTTTCTCTTGATCTGAACTAATATGTAGTTGATTGAAATTGATTTTTCTGACACCTTCATCAGGGAGGTAGTGGTTTTGCCTCTAACATTGCATTCCGGAATGTGTTGATGGACAATGTATCAAATCCGATAATAATAGATCAATATTATTGCGACTCTTTGCTGCCATGTCTAAATCAGGTATGGAATTCGTATCGTACTTAGCATGGAGAGGGTTCTTAATTCTCCAGGCAAAACAAAGAGCGTTAGACACCACTCCCTCATCATATATTTTTTGAGCTATCCAATCTACAACATACTAACATCCGAATCCTGAGAAAATGCAGAGTTCAGCAGTAAAGGTGGAGAATATATCCTTCGTGAACATTAAAGGGACTTCTGCTACAGAAGAAGCAATAAGTTTTGCTTGCAGTGATGACTCTCCATGTGAAGGATTATATTTAGAAGATATTCAGCTTCAATCATCCATTGGGGGAGTCACAAGATCTCTTTGCTGGGAAGCTCAGGGCTCAAGTTCGGGTTCAGTCAACCCACCCGCTTGCTTTTCAAGTTTTTCGAGTAGTGAAAACTTCATTAAGCAGAAAGTCAATCCACAGACCATTCATTCACAGAGGTTAGCCAATCTGGACTATGGAGGAAGGGCAACCCAATAGAATTTGTGGTAAATATCTACCTATATAGTTTATAGATTGGATTTTATTTTTATTTTTTGGAATTCATCTTGTTCTTGAAGGCATATGGGATCCTTGAAGCAATTTTTCCTTGTTTATCCCACTTTAACAAATGTGTTCGAAGAAAAGAGACCTTGATGATGGTGAAATCCATGCGTTGAAATAAATTGTACATATTATATTCCTCTTATTACTAATAAACTTTGTTTCTATATATTTATGTATATTGTAAAAAAATAAACTTTTCGGAGAGAGATTTTTTTTTTATTCGTCCGTGTGTTGCGTGTTTTGGTTCTGTGGTATGTTCTGCAATGTTCATGGTTAAGAAGCTTATGATGAATGCAACTGGTTTTTTTTTTTTTTTTCTTTTTAGAGAGAAGACTAATAAACTTTGTTTCTATATATTTATGTATATTGTAAAAAAAATAAACTTTTCGGAGAGAGATTTTTTTGTTATTCGTCTGTGTGTTGCGTGTTTTGGTTCTGTGGTATGTTCTGCAATGTTCATGGTTAAGAAGCTTATGATGAAATGTGCAACTGGTTTCTTTATTCGCACGAAAAGAGAGAAAAAGTGTTTACGAATTTTAAGAAGGGAATAGTTTGGGAATGGCCAACTGAACTTCCTGATGATATTTACAATTTAAAGAAACAAAAGAATACCTTAAAAAGCACTGAACCGATGACAACTGAGAAAGAAGAGTTTAATTTTGTAAAATAAGGGGCAAAGGAAGGAGTTGGGTAAACATTGAATAGTAAAACATAATAATCAAATTAATGCATTATGTGAGTTATGCCAGTTTGTCATGTCTGCTCCTTTGCATTCAAATTCAAGTCCACTCCTTGTAAATTGTTAATTGAGTTAGTTACACTAACACCCCCTGAGGTTTTAAAAATTACATGAACACTCTCTGAGGTTTCAATTTGTTTTCACAAAACCCATTTTCATTTATTCTACATCCAAAAATTTGATGATTTCATACATAAAAACTTTTGCAAATAACAAAATGGCTAAATTGTAGCAATGGTCCTGGACTAAGACCAAACTTTACTTTTCGTCTCTCATATTGCTAAATTGTTACGGTGGTGTAAACAGCAGTCACCAACTACTTTCTGGGAAAAACATAAAGGGTTTTATTACTGGTAATTTTTATATATGTATTTTACTGAATCTACTATCTGCACCAATGTAATTTGTTAAAGAACACATATATTCCATTTCGATTAATCCTTACAACATGTTCCCTCCTGGGATATACTACAAAACACACAAAGATAAGTTTTATTTGCGAATCATACAACAGTAATAGCAGGAGCAGCAAGTTTTAAGTGAAATTAATTATTCCTTTAGTCTAACTACTTCAGAAAACACAGTACAAATTGCGCAGCATTCGATGTCTTTATTCCTTCAACCTTTCCTTCTAAGCTTGGAGGTCAACAATCCCAAGTATGAGAGCCATTCATTTTAACCACAATGGTTCCTTTGTCAAAACCAAATGCAACCCTGTAGGAGGCAAGGAAAGTATATTTTGATAAATATGCTGGTAAAACAATGCAATAAAACAAATCCTAACAAGCTAAGGGCAACAAATTGAGAGTCCTTTGCCACATTTACATGCTTGTATATCAAACGGTTACTCGAAAAATCATCCTCTCAGATACACATCTTAACCCACAAGAAAGAACAAAACAGAAACTTACTTGTTTGATCCTTTCAAGTGTCCAATGGCCCATACTCTTTCAAGAGCATAGTTCAATTTGTTCTCTAGCCTGTGATACAACAAGAATCGTTTACAACATGAGTTTCGATCAAAGCGATGCAATAGCAAGAATTAAACAGAAAACTGAGTCAATTTAATTTGTAATGTAAGTAGTTTGGTTCAGAAGTTACCTAAAAGTGGTTGCATTCCATATGTGAATGTTCCCATCCTCAGAAACTGTAATTATTATGGGAAGCTCAGCATGAACACATACAGCTGTTACATTGTGCGCATGACCTTCTAGAGTTTGCACACAACTTTTTGTTTCAATGTCCCATACCTGTTGCCAAAAAAATTTACAAATAAAATTCAAATTAGTATGACACGCATACGCATCATCATCGTACACTGTACTTATAGAGCTAAACAGAAAGCTGATAACCAGCATTTGGTCCCAAACCTTAGCAGTAAAGTCATCTGAGCCACTCAATAGATATGGTTTATCCCTGCAACTGAAGTAATCGATGCAATTAACTCCTTTTGAGTGGCCATCTAAGGTAAACTCTGCGGTAGGAGAACCAATGTTCCATATCTACAATGAAACAGGACATTGTAAAAATTTAAGTGTCACAAAGGTCATGACACCAGCAATATTGCAGTTAAGTAATTTGCAACAAATTAACAGTGCCTTCAATACCTTAATGGTTCCATCAAGCGATGCACTAGCAAAAGTATTGGTGTCTTTCGGATTAAATGCCACTTGCATCACATAGTGCGAATGCCCCTCGAAGATCTGAGTACTTGACCAATCCCTGTCCCAATCCCAAAGCTTTATAACCTTGTCATCAGAACATGACAACAGATATGGTAGAGTAGGATGGACAGCAACACCCCTGATAAAGTCTGTGTGGGCTTCATATTCTTTGATCTTTTCCATCGTATCATAGTTGTATACACGAATGTATTTGTCATCAGACGCGGTGACAATCCAGTTTTCGCGTGCTATGAACTTGGCTGACCTCACTGCAAGCGCAAAAACAGATGTTAAATACAAAGTCATGACCAGTTGGCAACATCAAGAACAAATGAAAGAAAATCATGTACCTGGTGACTCAGTGACCTTGAAGGACTTCTCCATGGTCTGGACCAGTAAAATTAAGTTAGCCCCATCGGGAAGATTTATTGAAAGGCACGAAAATCCCAAATCGGGTAATTAGGAGTTTGATATTAATGGTGAAAGTAACAACGGCTCACCTGTGACTGGTAGTTCCAGATACAAACAGTTCCTGAATACAAACTTACTAAAATCCTGCATAGAAATCATTACATGATAAGAATATGAAAATCAAAGTTAGGAGATGCAGAAAACATAACAGCATTCTCAAGAAGGTAGAAAATTACCATGGCTCAGTTGGATGTTGATCCACAGATTTAACCCTTTCTGAGGTTTGAGCAAATTCTTTCTGGTCCAGAAAATAATACAACAGCTTAGAATCAAAATTGAAACACGTCTTATTTCCATAAAATTAAAATTATTTAAAAAAAAAGATATGGGAATAGCCATACCTCAATGGTTAGTGAAAGAGGCTGCTTCCCACCAAATTTGTCAGTTGCAAAATTGAAACAAAAATGTGTTAGTCCAATAATTTCAAGTATAATACGCATGCATAGTCCAATAATTCAAAATGACTTTTTTCTTTTTGACCGAGTCAGACTGGAATAAGCCTGAACCCCATTTCCTTCTGGTCTTCTTGTATATTAGACTAATAAATTGTTTCTACCAACATATATAGCTACAAGTCTGGCAATGGTGAAGCGAACCCCATTTTGCCATATTTTGTGATGTCGTAATACTAGGAAAATCATATTTAAACAAGTCATAAGGTGGTACATAAATGTGGTTTCCCTAATATTTTTTTCATGACGGGGACATACAAGCCTAGGTATTCCCTCCCCGTCAAAAAGAAAAAAATACTTAATAGGAAGACTCATAACATGATGAAACACAACATTAAGGGAAACAATGTGAGCAAAAAACGAGTAATAAACTCACCATTTTTTTGTGAATAGCAGGAAGGATATATAATGATTGATATGCAAAATTGCTTGTGATGACTTGAGCGATATTGAAGATGAGATATATGACCTCTTTTTATAGCATGGCATTCTAAAAGCTTAATTAGCAGCCAAGGAAACTTCTGTTCATATGTCAATACTAAAAGTCAAAGACCCATATCCCATATGTTGTCATCAAGTGTGTTAGATGCGGTCCATTCATTTTATCCATTATAATTGACGGTCCAGATGCAAGTTTCAGTAACCTCTCTTTGACGGTGTAACATGGGACAAAATTAAGGGTCAATTGGCAAATCATCACAAAGCTTACCTTTTGAAACTTCAACACGTCGAATAGAATACAAGTCTTCATGCCCATGTATTGAAAGCTGTTGCAAATGCCAATGGGTTCCCACCACAGTGGTGGTGGATTCCCCCTTCCCCCCATGGCACCCAGGATCGAACCCCAGTGGGGTTTCTTTCCTCCAATGTAACCAAAAAAAAAAAAAAAGCTGTTGCAAATTGCAATCGCATGCATCTGCCTTGTATTTGTCATTATCATGAGAAGATGGGAGGAACCAGTGTGTGTATATTATATATAATGCATTTATCGATAACATTATTATTAAAATAACTAACACTTTTTGGAAATCACCAAAGAATATTAGTAGTAGATTTACAAATTAATTAACAATGAATTAGTGTAATCTGGATTAGTTTAGTAAACAATAATGAGAATTAGTAAACAATAACAATGGAATTCAACTATATTCCTGTGTTGATTCCTTATGGTTAGTAAACAACTTAATTGAAATGATTCTTCCTACACTGATTCACTACTTCCCTGATTCCTTGCATTGAGGTTGCTTTACATTTTTTAATTATTGAAAAAAATTGTTCACTAATCAGGGTTGACCCTGAAAATTCGAAGGCCCGAGACACATCACTAAAATGACACCTTAGAGTTCTCACGGCATTTGTGCATTTCACATGTGGAATAATGACGTATTTAGGTTATGAGCTTGATAAACTGTAGAATTCTTTTTTTATTTTATTTTATAAACTTTGGGCAATTTTAACTTTTTAATTAATCTTCAAAAAGGAGAATAATATGTAGGCTTAATTGCACCAATGTCCCTTGAAACTTCGGTCAAATATCACTTCTCCCCCGC